CCCCAAAACCCCAAAACCCCAAAACCCCAAAACCCCTCGAACTTTGCCTTCACTTGAAATAAAAATAAATTTTGATGAGCTTGACTCTGTATTTTACCAGAGATCGTAAGTCTCTTTATTAGAGTGAGCTCTAATAGGTATAGGTCGTGAGTCAGAGACTCGTTATATCATCCAGGAACCCTTTGTGTGGAAACCAATGCAGTATGAAGGTACAGTACATTCCTGATGAAATTCTCATCCAATTTTCGGTGAATTCTGACAAACTTTCATCACTGGGCTCGATATGCTCTAACAGTTCTAATTAGTACAGCTTAGGGTTTAGAAATTTCTGATAATGTCTTATATGCCTAATCCAGTATAGATATATCGCTATTGTTTGGGAAGATAGGCAATGCACTGATTGAGTGCTCACTAAACCTGCAAATTAGCAATGACATCTCAAATTTGGCGTTTGTTAGACATCTGATAAGCTATTACACAGCTCATTGTGTGATTGGAGGGCTTTCTAGCGAGCCAACTTTATGCCTTATGGAGTTAAAGTCAACTATCCCCTCTATGAAACAGATGGAAAGATACCTCAAAACAGAAGATATAACAAATTTACACAAATTTGTAAGTGTATTTCCTGTTTAGCCACCTAATGAAGACTCTAGGAGTTGCTGAGCATCAAAGTTGTGCTAGACATCCACTTCCATATTGCCAAAATCCATGATTCCCCGCCATATAAGGTACAAGGCTCTTATTGGTAAACTTTTAGAATCTCAGGAAGAAGATCATTCCATGCATGATAAGATTTTACAAGAGGATCTCTCAAGCGAAATTCTCTATTATGATAAGCCTCTATAGAGCCTTTGCAGAGGATAGTAGGAAGAGACTCCTAGAGATGAACAGCAGAGCTTATTCTACTCCCTATTCCTTTATCAAGGAGCTCAAACAGAAGCTAGCAACTTATAATCAGATAAATCAAGGAGGGGAAGAGCATCACTTCTATGCTTAAGTTCACCGACGACATTGACCACAAGCGGAAGCCAACCGGTAGATCTCTTGTTCATGTGTGCTTGCCACTAAGATATTTCCTCAATGAAATATTGCTAATAGTAATTTCTTCATATTAGCCCCTCTTTCTTTGCAAAAATACTGTGCTGGAAATTTTTAATTTTCAAAATAAAATTTTAAAGTTTGCTCCTGTTTTGGAAGTCATTGCACAAAGAAGAGTTTCCAAGATTTCTAATACAATTGGGTATATCGTTTGTTGTAGCTTAGTCTTTAAAGAGTTATTAATGTGACTACCCAGAAATTTTAGACTCTCAAATTTATATGATAGCTTTAGCTATATCCCAGTTTTGCGTAAGAGAATTTTAACCATATTTTCAATTTTCGAATGCATAAACGGGGTTTTGGGGTTTTGGGGTTTTGGGGTTTTGGGGTTTTGGGGTTTTGGGG